ACTATACATTTGTATTCTTCTATGTATTGACTATTGTAATCCATTTTATTTCTTTTAAATTAAGGAGATTCGCCTATTAGTCGAAAATCAATTTTAAGACTTAATTTTTTTATATGATGTAGATAAATACTGTATACAAATAATCTCACAATTTGAGCAATATTGACTGTATAATTTTTTTATAATGTTATTCTGAAATTGATCATTTTAAGCATATCGCCTTATGGGAGGTGGTCGTTCCGAAGTAAATAATCATCGATTTAACACATACTCAGCCCACTTAGGACTTTGAAAACTAGGATTTAGTAGATGAAATATCAACAATTATGTACAAAAAAGCAAAATCAGATTTTACCGTAAGGATTTTAAGTAAAGGCTTTATTGTCGCAAAATTTATCTTTATCTTACGGATCATTAGTATAATAAGAGATTTGGCAACACCACAGTGCACAGGTGATACGAAGCCAACTTCATATAACCTGGAATCCATCTCGGCGTAAAGAAACAGTATGAAAATAATAATAGAAAGTTTTTTAATAAAGAAATAACTCTTTGATTATATGGATAAATTTTTGTATAGTTTTTAGTACATTATTTATTACGAAAAATTGCAATGAGAGACAGTAATTCAGGGAAATTATATAACTATATTAATTTTTATTTTATAAATACCATCCTATGGCTAGAAAATACAATTATGCAGTAATCTAAAAATAAATAATAAAAAATAAAATTATGTAATCAATCAATTTATTGTTGGAGTTCGCTTAATTTATACGATAAACCGTTGATTACTTTTTTGTTTTTATGATACATAGATAACCATCAATATCTTGAACAGAAGAATTTCAATTTCTCGACATTCACTTGTGTTATACGATCGCAAAAGAGTTATTTCAAAGTTATTCCAGTTTTTGCAATTTTTGTTATCATATTATACTTGAGATCCCCGAGGATTTAACATTTGATTCCTGAGGATTTGATACGTATTTAAGACACTTGAGTGAATTTTGGAGGATCTTGCATTGTAAAGAAGATTGTTTTTTAGTAGATCGATCGTCATTGCATTTTCCAGAATCTGTTCATTAGTAATATTGATATCTGAATGTGCTAGGAGTTTCTGTAACATTGCGATATCATGCTATGCATTATGAGTGTTTATCGCAGTTTCTGACTCAAAGTATTCTTCGACTAGTGTAGATAGGATGAACTTGCCGTCGGGTAATTAATTTATTCTTTAACATTGGGAGAGTATCTGCGAAGCCATGGACCACATACATGAACTCTTGAAGCATTCCTTGCTCTTCAACGAATTTAATTATAATATCAAAGGGGCGTCCAATTTGAGACCATTGTGATCCGTTAGAACTATACTTTTATACAGAACGTAAAAACATTAATAAGCCACTGATAGCAATACGTTGCAACAGTTGAAACTGACAACGAATCCAGTACCAAATCACTGTTCTTTATTTCAAGTCCAGTGACGGTAGATGCACTGCTTAATATGCAATGCAATGGCATAATGTGTGCATTGTATTCAGAATCCTTGAATCTAGTAGCAATTTGAAGGATTTTGCAATTTTTACCAAAACCGGTAGTCTCTAAATCGAATACGACAGCTTTTGCAGAGGCCGAAATGATATTTCTTGTTGGATCCAAATTTGGTTGATCGATAAAATTTATGCCGAGAGCAAAACCGCAAGCGTAGGATTCATAAGATATTCCTTCTTTTCTTTCAGCTGTCTTGATTAGACTTGAATCTTGATTAGACTACGTTTTAAAGAGTTGGTGACGACGTTTCTTAAATTCAATCGTTTGGATACGCTCTGGAACGCTTAGAGAATTCTAGAATTACTCTAGTAAGAGTCGAGATGTAAACGGTCCTCTTCGTGATTGATGCCGTTATGTTTCAATTTGTTAATATGTTAGCGAATGTACGTGAATAAGTGAGAGCAATTTTTATAGGTGTGGTACCATGTTTTTCAAGATGATGACGCCGGAGCGGACGTTTTTTCGTTTCGGTCTGAGTTAATTATCTTAAAATAATTATCACCAGTCTAATTTTGGCCGTATTGACTTCCTTCTTATTTTTCTGAGAGCAGATTCATTTATTAAAGAAGAATAAGAATTATTAGCCGTTTTCGGTAATCCTGAAACATGGCGTCCTTCCGGTTTTGTATCTCAACTCTTATTAGAGTGACTCTAGACAATTTCACTACAGGAGACCGAACTTATATAGATGATGCCGTCAGATTATGAGCCCAAAAGTGGTCATCTGAATTAGTTCGATCAAGATGTGTTACGAGCGCGTTGCACTGTAATATATATAAAGTAATGTAAAAGATTCGGAGGAGATATGCACGCAAGAAAAACTTTGGACTAGCGTCCAAACTGTACGGGATTCTATGTATTATCACTACGGAAATTTCTTATTTTTGTCATTGCCGCCTTATTTATATGTTTGCGCGCCCTCATGATATTCGTGCGCGCTCGCTGTTCGTTCAGCTTCGAAAAGAAGGGGCGCTGATAGGGAACGCGGAACGAACCGATTTCGTCTCTTATCTTGAGTTTAATAAAAAGAGCGTCGACAGTTTGTAATTGATTTAAACAAATTGTGACCTAATATATTATTCTCTAAAGTAAGAATTTTGTGTCTTCATTGGATCGAATAAGCAGCGGATAATCATACTGCATGATATCTCATAGCCGACACAATTGGTCGGCAACAAATTTATACACAAACTTTATCGATAAATTTCATATCATCGTTTTCATACAATCGATTTTAATTGACTCGGAATGGCTTGGAATTAAAAAGAATTACTTATAATCCATGATTACCCGCAGATAACACAATTAACCCATTTGAAATCGAAAAGAATTTATTTTCTTGACTTCTTTATGAATTAGCGCAATTTGTTCGAAATGAACTTAAAAAGAATTCCTTTCCGACAATTAACAAAGGACTCCATAAAGATACTTCTTAGAGTTAAATTAAGTTAATTTAAAGAAATCTTTTTTTATTCGTAATGGGTTTGAAAAAAATTCATTTTTGGCTTGATCACAATATACTTGTACAAAATTATTCTCGCTACGAGTCATGATCTACCGCCGCTAGAATTGTACCGAGCTTGAGTGATTGCTGCGAGCGTAATAGAAATTAGTTTTTGCAATAGTATTTTGTATACATACAAAATATGTGTTACATATATATGTATACATAATCGAACGTGTTTAAATATAGAAGTACAGTTTAATTTAAATAAAAAATGAAGTATGACTTATTCTTAAAAATTAAGAAATATAAATTAATAAAAATATGTGCAACAAAAAATATGATAATACCCACACAACACTGTTTCCCGACTTTTCCCAGTACGGCCTACAGTCGATTATGAAAATGACTGTCAGTCGGCTATTCTCAGTTGACTTAATGTCGATTTTCAATAGTCGCCTTATAATCGACAATAGTCAACTGAAAATTAACTAAACACAGTCGACTATTAGTCAACTATGTTTTGATAAGTCAACCAGCACCTCACCTGGCGCTCGCCCGGCGCGAGTTCCGACCGCCGCCGCGTGAGAAGCATTAGCCCATATTCAAGATTAATCCCGCGTTATTAAAAATAGGGCTCCGCGAAACATCCAACATCATCTCGAATTAGAGCAAGCTCCAAAAAAGGCCTTTATTCTGATATCAGATCATTTTACGTGTTGTATCTTTACATTACACTTTTTTGTTTCCTTATTGGGCACTGATACCTACTTGTAA